TAGGGCTCAGAACCCAGCACAATGCCTGGGACATAATATGAATTCAATAAATATTAATTATGTGAATACAGACAGAAAATATAAACATGTTCAAAAAGGAACTAAAGTTCTCGGGTGATAGATATTTAATGACAATGAGTTAAGGAAAACTAGGAAAATATGTGAGAGCTATCTTTAAACCTGTGAAAACAAATCATATATTTTTCTCCACATCATCTCTTGGTGGTGGTCATCAGGGATGACTACTTGGCTGGATCCAATCAACTCAAACTTACCCTCTTACACAAAGCTTCTTTTGACAACCAACCCTTATTTAGATTCCCTGCAAGCAACTCTCCACCAACTCCTTAGCAATCACACCATGACATTTAACACTGCATTGTATGCTGTCTTGTATGCTACATTTCATCTGATTAAGCTTAATTTTTCAAAGTACACAAAGCTCATGGAAGCCAGGGAAAATACTCCTTTCCATGTGTCCCCAAGAGCCTATACAGTGTTGAATATACAGGCAATCAATGAGTACTCTATTAAAAGATGTCAATATTTTGCATTTCTGTAGTGTTTTGTAAGTTGTAAAGTACTTTATAAACTAGTTTGTTTGATCCTCACAATCACTGTGAGAGGCAATAAGAGCAGGTATTATTATTTCCATTTCCTAGATGAAAACATTGAGGCTTAAAGAATGTACAGCTTGAGCAAAATCACATAGCTAGTGTTAATTCGTCTATACCACACTACATTGTGTCTTATTGGAGAAAGAAGAGCCTGGGGCATAGGTTTTAGGATCCAGAACTTTCCATCCCAAGACTTTCAGCTCCCTCTACTAAAAATGTTTGTACTAGAAAAAAACAAAAAAGGGGCAGGGGAGATAAAAGCTTAGCATATTAAGAGTTTCCAGTTAGGTTGAGGAGAAACATTAATTACTGGATAAGTGGCTGTATTACATTTTGATCTTAATAGTGTCTTGATTTTAGGATTTTCTAAGTTCCTGTACTTAAGCTCTTTCTTTTTTCTTTCTGGTTTCCAGCAAACATTTGTATCCAAATGGGTCAATGTTTCTTATCTGAGTGAGCCTGAGGTCTCTTGCTCTTTATGTCTTAACCTTTTGTTATTATTGTTGTAGCTGTTTTTCCAGCTAAAATGTGTGCTAATGCTTTGAAAATGGAAAATGAATACAAAATTTATGAGGTCATATAAGAAAATATATCCTTTGGAATCTTTATCTAATTTCTCCAGGACCTGTGTTAGTAAATTTAGAAAAATAGCCTTGTATGTAGTAAACAGCCTTAGTGAAGGTAAACAGCCTTTCCTCTGACTCAGTGTGCCAGTGAAGGTACAGGTTGTGCAATCCTTGATACAGGGGTGAACCAAATATTTTCAAGTGGCATAAGATTAGAAAGAATAACCTCTAGAAAGCAAAACTTGGCCCATGAATAGACTCGAAGGAAAGCTGCATGTAAATATAGAAGACGCAGTTAGAAAAATCATGACGTGGTTTCAAATGACAACACATACTTGAACAAAACCGGTTAGTTTATGTATTTCAGAACCAGTAATAATGGACTAGAATTCACTTTTTTTTATTGCCCTAAAAAATTCCCTTGTACCAGCTTGTAGTCTATCCTCTGCCTCTTCCCCAATTCCTGGCAACCACTGATCTGATTTCTGTTTCTATAGCTTTACCTTTCCTAGGATTTCATATAAATGGGATGATACAGTACATAGCTTTGTGTCTAGTTTCTTTTACTTAGCACAATGTCTTTGAGGTTGGTCCAAGTTGTTGCATATATCAGTAATTTGTTCCTTGATTCACTCATTGGAAACTAAAGACGAGCCAAAATAAAGCAAGTAATCTAAAATTAGATTGTGTCAGAAATTCACCTGCATGCACACATACATTAAGCTGGAGACCATTATTTGATATATAAACAGTCAAATGAATGTTTAAAGAAATATCTTTTTCCACAATGAGTTTAGTTCATACAAGATTATAAAACCGTATACATACAGATAACAAACCGATAAAAGTGGATGAACTACATTATATGACATCGGTATTTTATTCAATGTAAGATAATAAGTCTGATTTTCCCCAGTTCCCAAGGCAGCTCTTTGACATAGAGGAAGAGCTATTAACTCTCTAAGGCAGTAAGAAGACCACTGATGGCACTACCAATAAAATTGTGCTGCACTTTGAATGCGACAATCCTGCTGGTAAGATGCTAAAAATGCAGGTGAAATTGTTTTGAGCTGTGTTTTGATTCTCTTTTTGCCATTTCTGCCCAGGGCAAAAGTGGTAGGTAGGAATTGTCTTTGGCTTCCTTCAATCTCTTTTTCTGTAAGTGGTAGTAGTAGCATTGGCTAACATTTTTTGAGCACTTCTTGTATGCTAGGCACTGTGCTAAGCACTTTGACACGTTATCATAATTCTCACAACAACCTTATGAGACAGGTACTATCATTATTCACGTTTTGCAAAGAGATTTAAACACAGAGAGTTCAAATAACTTGTGCAAGACTGCACAGCCAGTTAAATGTTAAAACTGAGATTTGACCCTATGACTTAACTCCTACAGTATTATACCCTACTCCCTGCATTATACTAGTATACATACATTTAATCTAGATTTTAGAGTCTAGAATTCCCTCTCTCGTGCCCACCAGCAACTTAGTGCCCTCCCCTATTATGCCTCCCTCAAGACTTCTAGAGGTTCTACCTATATTTATCCCTCTCTAGTTTTAATTGCTCACTTCTCCAACTATTCTTCTCTCAGTGCCCTGCTCTTCACCCAATGTTGTAAAGAATGCAGCTGATTAAGCAAATGCCATTATGGTATAAATACCTCATAGATCTCCTGATCTTTGTGAGGGATGATTGCACTTTATACCAAATTATCCCCAATAAATTACTATTAATAAACTTCCAACAAAGGCATGGTGAGGTGGGCTGGAATGGACAGGAGAACATTGCCAGCATGCATTATTTTATACCATTCAAATATAAGGTTAACTGTATCTAACCACATTTTTCCCCTGATTCTCTGTGACTAGCGACAGACTGAAAGACAAGATTAAGAACATAGGTACATGGTGGCCCTGTAGCAGAGGTGTTTTCTTTCCCTTGTATAAACTAACTGATCAGAGTGGAGATCAAACCTATGACCTGCATCTCAAAATGGTGCTCTATCCAATTTAAGTTAACAAGCATTATTGATACCAGTTCCAACATTATTGAAGCAGTACATTGAATGGTCCCGTAACAGCTTGAAAGAATTAATAAGCCTCCCTAAAGATCTAACTTTTAATTAGGGAGTAACCTAGGTATTGGGAAAGATTAGAGTTTCATATGGCCTAGATCACAAAGGAGGTATTCGATTATAACAGTCTTGGTATACATTGCATTACATCATAAAATGGAAATATAAATATTGATTATTATTTCATAGCAAAATTCAGAATTGGAAAAATTTCCCAAACTTCCCAGACTGGCTGAAACAAAACACTATAATAAAAAGAAACAGTCTTATTCTTAAGAGAAAAATTAGAATTGCATTCCGACTGACTTACTTCAAGAAAAATATTACTCTGAGTGCATACTTGTGTACCCGACATGAGACCCTTCATATCTAAAAATGATTTTTAAAGTTTAGAATAGTTTACTAGTATAGATGATAAAAACATTACTAGGGTAGAAGTATTAAGGAGAACTTTCTTGTAACTTGCAGCCAAAGTATAGCAACTTTAATACTGTTAAGGTCATAAGTAGCATCATTTCTTTTAAATCTAGGGTAAGAAGTAGAGTTTTTATGTAAAACAGCTACTTGTTAATTCCCTAGGACAAATGTATTTTCATCAGTAGAAGGTTAACTTTTTTCTTTTATAAGTTAAAAAAAAATTCTCCCCTTAAGTCTAACTGTAATTGAGAGTAAAATACTTTGGTGACAATGGTTACATGGGAAAATTCTCTCAATACGTTGTTAAGAGAAAAAGCAGGACACATAACCGCATATTCCGTATAATCCCACTTTTGCTGCATATATGTAATTTTCATAAGAAATGACTGGAATAAAATACACTAAAATGTTAACAATGATTATTATTGGATGTCGGGATTATAAGTGGTTTTGCTTTTCTTTATGCTATCTACATTTTCTAAAATGTCTACAATGAACATCTATTACTTTTATAATATGATATAAACAAGAAACTTAAAGAACTAGTATTAAAGGATGGGAAAAACATCATTCAATTTTATAGACATACTCATCCATCGACTTGTTTCAAAATAGATTTATAAAGATTCCCATTCATTTTTATAAAATCAAAGGATTCCATCACCTTAAGTCAATGTTTTTGCAGACCTGAGAGACTTGAGTCTTTTCAAGTGCATGTTTGTATGTGATTTTCTCCTTGCAGCATTCTTGAAAATTTATCAACTGGGAGGGCAAACTGCTGATGTGCTATTTGAAGGTCACCTCTTGCCCTCCCCCATTAGTTAGGCAACACGAAGACTTTTAATTGCTAAGACTTTGAAAAAAAGGCATGGGCATATTTCACCCAAGTTAAAAGCATGCTTAACTGGTGTCAAAGAGAGTCAGAAGTAAGGTATAACACTGCCACTTAAAAAATCTGATGTAAAAATAGCATTCTTTGTTTATACTGTGATGATTTACTTGCTGGTTTTATCATTTAAAAACACTATTGTGGACAAATCTGTTGTCTATTACAGAATATTCACTCTATTCCATTGGTGGTGTAGTAATTCTTTAAGTAAAGTCAATTGAGGATGATGTACATGTCAGCTTGGAAGTCAACCAAATTTCCACTTGAGCACTCCATGTTCTCCCTTCTCTAACCCCTGAGACCTTATTAGTCTCTGCATTTTTTGGTCTTTTTATCAGAACTTTATTTTTGGGAGGAAGAAATTATCTTTTAAAGGGAAGCAATATTTACAATACAAAGACTTAGAAAAATAAACATTAAAAGAAAGAAATAGATGTCCGTTCGTTGGAAATCATTTATTGCCTCTATAAAAGTTTAAATAAAAACCCTACAAAAGTTCACATTACAGTCTGATGTGGTTTTAAGGTGATAGCATGTTTCAGAGGTAGTACCAGTAAAATGGGATGCAAGATTGTTAAAAGGTATTACTTAACAAGTTAATGCAAAATAAAATTTCAATGTGGAGTAATATATACTCAGTATACACTTTAATGGAACAATTATAATTATATTTCCACGAAAATATCACTTTATTCTTTTTCCCCTTAGCAAATCTGCTTTTAATAAAAGTTAGTTTGGGCAATGGCATGTTAACTGTAGGCTCACAAGTAAGTAGGCTCCTCCATTATATCATCACAGAGCATAGCTTGGTGAAGAGCATGATACAGTGCTGTCTGCCAAGGATAACACCAACTTCAAAGATAAACTCATTTACTCATTATTTAGACACTATGGTACTAATAACTCCCTTAAAAGGTTAATCTATCAGAATTTGGCATTTTTAGGATCTGAATGAAAATCTAATATATTATAAAAAATAGACAATATTCATGGTATACTATCACTGCAATATGGAGGAAGGTCAAGAGTTAAACTTTTCAGAATTTCTCTTAAAAATAATAATAAGCTATCAGACTAAGATGAGGAAACTATTCCTTCGAAATGGGCTGAATGCCCCCTCCCCCACAAGAAAAGGCAACAAAGTCAATGTTAGAGCCTAGAATTCTTTTAAATATACATTTAAGTTTTCTCCTACAAGCTTACAGGCTGCTGACTATGAAAGTGCCTTAAAACAGATGTTGCTGTCTTTGGAGAAATGGCCTCTCGGATATCTTTTGAGGTCTTGGTAGTATATAGAGCACAGGAGGTAACTGGGCTGTGGTCTTTTCTTTTTCAACAATAACAAACATTTCTATCACATGATTGCTATGGTAGTACAAAAGTTCTGCTGTTGATAACTGACTTTATGACAAAACATCCCCAGGTTCCATGAAGAGGCCAATTTTAATATTTTCCTTGCTGGTGTTCATTTTCCTATTCTCCACTGGAATTGCAGTTCTCATTGTTCTGTGACTAATTTTAGCTTAGCTAAAATGAGGAAGGTATCTTTAGTGTTTTTTGTTGTTGTTGTTTAATACACATTTGGATGTAAGTGCTCTTAGATACACATTTCTTGCTTAGGAACTAGTTGGCTATCCCAAGCTGAAAACAGACATCAAAGTGTAGTTAAAGGGAAAAAAAAGGTTTTTTGATGTGGCATTCGTCTTTGTGAGAGAGGCTTCAGATAGTATGGTCTGCTTTAATATTGTGTCAAAGCCCTAAAGAAAGAAACACTAGTTGTTTTTCTCCCCCTAGTCATGAAGATGTTCACAAAAGCAGTCATAAACTGATATTTTTCCTGCTCTAAAATGTCTCAAAACCGATTCCAATCTATGTGTGAAAAATATATTTTATTCATTATGGATTTTTAATACTTGAACTTGGCATCTTTTTTGAAATCTACGGTGCATAATTTCCTTCTGCCAATTATGATTTTTTTTCTGGATACAGCTATTTCCTGTGGTTTTTGCTACAGAACAACCACATTTCATTTTAGAAACTTTTTAATACCAATCATAGTAAAAGAAATAACTGATGCTGAAACACAAATGCTGGGACAAAAGGATTCCTAAGTGTACTATTACGATTTATGCAGTTTCTATTTTAATGGAACTTTAAACAGGGACAAGGGAATCTTCTCTGCTTCTTCTCAAAATTGTAGACCCAGATTCCTTTTAGGAATCACACCTGGTAGACTCGTTAAATCTATTAAAATTTCTACTTAAATAATTTTTATTAGTATCCCTGCAATAGTGAAAAGAAATGATTCACTTTAAAGTTTATGGCTTGCTGAGGAGTAGAAATCTAATGTCCCTATAACAGGAGCTCAAGGAATATTTTTTGATTTAGCAACTAATTGCCAAGGTGAGACAAATACAATCCATAGAGTTGAAAGTTGTAGGAGAGAGTCATCTGTCCTTACTTTGTAGCAAGAACCAAATAAGAAGGGGCTTAAATTGACGCAGAGGAAATTAGAGTTTAAAGATAACTCAATGATTAGGAAGGAGATCCTAGGAGAGACTTGAAAGCCTGGAATTTGTTCACGCTACATTAAGAAATGGTTTCTATATTTGCTATATGTAGTAGGGACTCTTTACCTCATGGAAGAATTGGTGTGACTGATAAATTTAATCCTAATATCTGAGATTCTGTTCCTCAGCATTCTTTTCTCTGAATGGAATTTGACTTGTCAGCAAATAGTACTAAACACTGTTTGCAAAGAGCCATATGGCTCTCAGCTAAAAAAGGGCACACCTAACCGCTGAAATATTTCTGCCTGCAAAAGAACCGTAGCAGTAGCATGGTAGCAATATTAAATCAGACAGCTGACAAAATGAAGGATTATCAATGAACCTTACCTATTTGTGTAGGGGGGAGGGGACATTTCAAGTTCAAAGACAATCATGACTGCCTTTCTGCATTCATAAACTGGTATCTATGAATTCCTAGATCAAAACTGGTTTTACTTACAAATTACAAAAATATCTAACATAGAAACTTAATGGCCAAAACAACTAACTAGCTACTTCATTAATCTTTTACGTATAGATAGTAATTTAACCATGCGACACAATTCCACACTGCCAATTCACAAATATATGATACTGTGTGCTCAGGGAGAAACAGGATTTTCCCTTCTATGAATCTTGGACTGCCATTTAGTACCCTGGACGGGAAGGTCTGCAAAGAATTGTCTACAGTGTTTTGCCACCTGGTACCTACTAACAGAACAACTGGGTAGAATGCTAGGCGTGTACTCACTAGAATAATATCCAGGAAATTCAGAGGACCATGATTTACAACAAAGTAGTATAACTCTTTTTGGAAATTATCCTTGGCTGATGGCTCTGTACAAGCTTCACGTGGAAATGAGGTAAATTTTGTGGCAAAGCTGAGTGACTAGAAGAAAAAATCTCAGTGGCTTACCTTGACTTCCTGTTTCATAAAATGTAAGAACTGAAAAAATATTATCAAGATGGTGATCAACCTGTAATATTGTGCAACATTTCATCTAACTCAGTTACACAAATTTACCAGTAGAATGTAAGTCTTATCAACATTTGTCATTTGCAGCAACAAAGAACTCCCGTTAAGACTAATCTTTTACAACATTTTGTTTCTATACACTTAATAATTTATTTGAATTCACGTTGGTGAATTACTTTTCCATAGTGCTTTCCCCCCTCCCCCCAAATATTTGGACTAGATAATAGAAGAAGACCAACAATTTACAATTATATACTAGTAATCACTTCAATTTTCAATCATTAGCTTAAGTCAAATTCTCATAGGGGTTGAAAAATAAATCCAGGAATTCTTCCAGGTTAAATCATTTTTAAAGTGTTCTTTTTAATTTTCAGTCCACTTTCCTGAGTAAAAGTGTATGCGGGTGATAGGAAAAGGAGAGAGGAAGAAAGAAGATGTAATGGCTACAGAAACAAGACTAATCAAGCTTCAGTAACTTGATAAGCAAGTTACAATAGAAATACCTTTTTATTATTGTGTCTCTGGTAAAAACTATTACTAAATCTAAGATTCTTCTGTAAAACCAAACAAAAAGCTTTCAGAAATTAGACATTATGCACTTCAAAGTTAAACTGCTCAAAATTAAATACAATTTTTCCAGAGTTCCATCAGTTTGGAAAAAACTCTCAAGCAATGCTTTTAAATTTCACACACATTTTTTTGTGCTGTAGCCATTATATCTTGTTCATCCTTCACAGAATATGTCGGTTTCAACGATATGTTTTGCCAACCGAAGAATTTTGGGTCAGAATGCAGTTATCTTGAAATGCACAATTGTTAGGCAGCCAAAGGACTGTATCATATATCCCCTCCTCAAATCACAAGCTGTCTGAGGCATTTTTCTCTGATAAAGAAGACACACTGAATGAGGTATCATCAGGTTCCGGTGAAGCATGATTGAAATCCATCTCTTCTAATTCAGGAGGTAAATCTGACAGCAGTGCCTGAGTCAGAAAAATCAAGTTTTTTGAATTAGTATGTGGATAAATTTTTCCCAATTTTATGTTAATAGTTGCAGTCCTCTCACGTTGAGTTTTTTCTTACAGATTTTAAGAAAGGAACATTTCTCTTTCAGGACCTTATAAAATATCTTACCTAAAACAAAAATTCATTACACACTATTAAGGAAGTAACAAAATACTAGATCTTGAGAGTATGGATTATGTAAAGTGGAACCCTGGACAAAAGGGAAATTAGGAGAGAAATGAGCAACTATTCTGAACCAAGTGTTTTGAAGTGTTTGAGATAAGCGATTTTCATTCTAGTTTTGAGTGTTCACTGATCAGTGCTAAAGGGCTTTAAAATTCCTTATTAAAATAGTCCTGCCCAGTTATCAGAGAAAAAATATTTCACAAAAGACTATTTTGTATTTCAGTGGGAGAAAGAACTTTGCAGTTAGAAAATAAGTTGAGCCATTCTACTTTGGACTAAACTTTAACAACTTAAAAAGTACAAGTGATTTTTTTCTTTTCTTAGGCTATGCCCATATCTACAGATGGCCAAACACCCAGCAGGGCCTGGCTGAACCAGTGAATCTAGCTGTGTAATGATGCATCTAGAGGGCTGCTCATTTCTCTGTTGCAGTAATTAGGATAAGCCAAGAGCCATGAACTAAGCTTTTGCCATGGTGTAACTGTTTCATGTAGATTTGCCGAAGATGCATCCATACTAGAGAAATAAATGATTAATCAAGTTTTGTGTGGCCGACAGTGCTGATGCCCACTTGACTATAAAAAATTGCAAACTAAATGATTGATTTGCTGCTCCAAATATTAAAAATAATGTAGCATATCTGGGCAATTTTTAGACAGCATTACTTGTAGTGTGGGCTTTGGGTGCAGTGGTAAACAAGGACCAAGGGAACAGAAACAAATGCAAACTTGCCACTACCCAATTAAGGAACAGAAAGACAGGGCATGTTGAAGAACATATGAAATACACTGCTGAAATAAAACAATAATTCCCTATTCTCTTTATTGAAAGAAGTGACAGCTATAAATCCTACACTTTTTGTCTTATAGTACAGAGACAATTTTGGCAACTTTCTCCTTTTTGTCAGGTTGCATAAGGAAAGGCTAACTTACATCTGAAAGAAAAGTTATTATTTATTTTATACTATTAAATAGTTCATGAACTTCTTGCTGAAATTGAGAGTATTTCCAAAGCAGTCACCTAAAGGTACTACATGCTTTCTAAGGTGTTAGGTTGCAGTAACAGGACACAGAGCCATTTTCTTCTAGAACGGTTGTTTACCACTAACCCACTCTAGGTGAAACAAAGCCTTTGTCAACACTGGATGACCATAGTTTATTTAGAAATACATCACTGGCTTTAGTTCACTTTGCAATTGTGAAGAAGTCCTATGAAAGAGGGCAAAGTGTTTCAATTAACATTCACTGAACATGTGCTTTGAGTATTGCACTGTCAAGTGGATGAGCAGACTTAACAACATTCTAAATTCTAGTGGGGAGACCTTCAAATCAAGGAAGCACTATTATTTATTTCTTTGTCACTGTATTTCATGTAGTTGACTGACTAAAATGAGTTTAGTATGAAAGAGGAAAACTTTAATATCTGAGGCAGTATAGGGGATTACTAATGCATGAGATCCACTTCAAAATTCTTCCTTTCAATATCTTACTGGATTGCAACATTGGCACACTGAACAAATCTTTGGATTATGCCAATTGCTAGAAGAGCCTTCTTCATAGATACTAAAGTAAACACAATTCACTTTCTTTACTATAAGTTCTTCATCAATCTGTCTTCAGAGTCTGACCTAGCACCACTCTTCCCAAGAGATTAAAGCATTTCCCAAATATATCATCAGTGTCTATAACACTTATTCTAGGCCCTAGGGTGTGAACACTAAGTTCCGTGGTAATCATTCTTATGCTCCTTGCAAAGTGGACAAATTTAAGAAAGGCAATTAACCTGGCTAGAATCACAGAGTGAATTATCAGGGGAAGAAAGACCATAACCAATGACTTAGTACAGTGCTGGCAAAATTATTTTATTTTAAAATGGCTATTGATTAAAAAAGCAAACTTTGGGTAATCTAAGATTTCAATCAAACAGTATCATATATATTTAAAGCCTGGACTGCTTCACTGGGGCAAAATATTCTGTGGACCATGCATCTTACTCAACTTACCCAAATTAAGATTAATTGAAAAACACTTAGGATTTTTTAAAATGAGAAACCAATGACAAAATGGGTCACTTTTGTTAGGGAGAATAAAAATCAATTCCTTCCAGAAATAAACCTCTAACTATTTCATAGTGCAAAGATCAATACTTTAAGAGATCACCTGGATAACTTTTGTGGACTACTATTGGTGTCTTCTATATTTTGAGACCATATTTTGAGATCCGTTATACTTGATCTCAACTATGAAGATCAATAGTTTCTGTTTGGGTGCTGATTATATAGGTTGTCACTTTCAGTGCAATTTTCGTATAACTTTTTTTTTTAGCCAATGTTTTGCCTATATCTCAGTTCATCAATCTTTTATCAGAGGAAAAGTGTAAGAGAAGAAAAGTAAAATGGACAATAGTTACTTATTTGTTAGTGGTCTTGAGGAAAGAACCAGGATAGGAATGAGATTAGAATTAGAAAATAAAATGCAGTCTGTGTGCTATTCCTAGCTATCAAGAGACATAGACAACTGCTAGTTAGCTGACCATACAACTCGGAATTCAAAACCGTGCTATGACTTTTGGGACCAGGACCACACTCTATGTTATTCCTATGGTTGGACCTAATTTTGGTTTTTCTTTTTAAGTTATTTAAAATTTAGAGTACCCTCGGGACCATGTTCAAGACTACCACCTTATTCATTTAAAATATGTAGTTTAGGTTTTTAAAAAACAAACACATTTTCAATATGCCATGAAATATGCATAACTCACATAAGAAAGCAATATGCTTAAATAAAGCTGGCAAAGGTAACTGAAGACTACTGTCTTGGGATAGCTGTGTGTGTGCAGCACGGGGGAAGCAAAATTCATGAAATTAGACACATAATGTACATACTGGTTTGAGCCTCATGAGTAGATTCTTTTAGTTTAAATTTTGTGGTTCAGTACCTCAGTGAAACATACAAAGACTATCTTCTTTAAAAAAAGGGAGAATTGTGGGAAGCTGAGACTAATCTTTTCCCCTGGAGATGTTTGGGATGGGCTATGTGCATGCAGTCTTGCTTGGATATAAAACATGAATTTTTGTATTCTTGAGATTCCTTGCTGAATAAAAACCTCCAAGACTGCTTCCTAATCAATGGTTACCTCACATTGAACTTCTCTGAGAAGGAATCAACATGGTAGTACACAACTCAGAGGCAAATTTGGTATCATTCAGTATTGAATGGAACAATTTATTCTATAATTCTTTTCAGCAAGCTTAATAAATTGTTATACAAATTTCAAATGAAAAAATAAGACAGAAAATGTAATCTGGAAAGAATTTGTAGAAGAAAATCCACAGCAACAAACAAAAGACATTACATCTTTCGGGTAGAGGAATCAAACACTCTAGTTAAATCGGGAAAAGTAAATGATTCACTGTGGTTGCAAAGAATTTCACAAAGTAATTTCATATTTTTCTTTAGTGACGAGCAATATATCATAAAATAGAAGGTATTCAAACATTTGTGAACTTTAGTGAGGGCTGGAAGGTAACTGAAATCCAGAAGAGAGACAAATATCTTGCCTCTTTTATTCACAAAAGGTCCCAAAATACATGCCTCTCCAGGTAGGGTAGCCTGTCTCTAGAAATATTTTGAGAATTTCTTTAAAATTAATTTTAAAATTGTTTTTTCTCCTATTTAAGGCTAGCTTGGAATTAACAACGTATGTGAATCAATTACCTTGATTTTCCACTAAAACAGCACACAAAATCTAAATGTCTATTCTCAAGAAAACTGTGCTAAAAAGGGGCACAAAGTAACAGATCCTTCCTTGATGCCAAGCAAGAATGAAGTATAAAAACGAAAAAAATACGAAGAACTCAAGTGTGACATGCCATTTTTCGACATGATACATTACAGCTTACTATTCTCTTCTGGCACCTACCTTCTGTTGTTCCTTATCGTCAGCTTTCATAGCTAGTATCAAGCTTCTAACAAATGTCTGAAGTTTAAAGTATTTTTGCTTTTGAATCTCTAACTCGTTTTCAATGAATCTGACTTCTTCATTCTAGAGGAGAAAACATCACACAATATATTTACCCTATGCAAACCTAAACTGTACATGTTTGATGCACAATAAAATTCTTAAAAAACAATCAAATTAAAGGGATAATAAAGAAGATAATATTTTAGCATAAAAAATATAAAGCACAGAAGGAAATTATCCCGTTACTTAAAGGCTGCCTTTTAAGCAAATCACCAACAGAAAACAATTTGCAAAATCAAAAATCCAATTAAATAAATTCCAGTAAGAGAAATATCAAGAAACAGTTCTCTTCTTGGAAAGACTCCTCCTATATTAAAACTAATTGGCATTTGGATTAGGATTAAGAATAGACAGAGCCCAATTAACCCCAAGTAACGAGCAACAGCAGATGCAGTAATGCTGAATGTACCATTTACAAAGCTAAATACAGAGAACTAAAAAGGTTATTATTTTGTACCAAGGAGGGACTGAAATTATTACTGACTTTCTTAAGTAGTTTGCTGAGCTTCCTGCCTTTATGTAGGAGTCTGTTATTCAGAAAATATCTCCAAATGTATCACTGTTTTTCACTGATTTGAGCTCCAGTCTCTTGTCACTATTTTCGCTAGTTGTGTAGGACAAGAATAATAGACTAGCATTTGGGAGGATTTTAGCACCAGGTCTACTGATAATTGCGTAAACTTGGGCAGGCCAATTAACCTCTCTGTGACTTTGTTTACATATCAGTAAAATGGACACAATACTAGAAATCTTCAGCAATTCTAGCTTTGAGGGTTATAAGGCTCAAATAAGATAATGGCCATGAAAATACTTATTATTAAAGCTACAGTAATCAATAAAATGTGGTATTGGAATAAAGGAGCGGACATATAGATGAATGGAACAGAACAGAGAGTCTAGAAATAGATATATACATATTCAGTTGATTTTCGACAAAGGTGCTGAGGTAGTTCAAAGAAAGGATTGTCTTTCAAAACACAGTGGTTGAACAATTGAAAATCCATATCCCCAAAAAAAGAGATTATTAATCCTTACCTCACATCAGATACAAAATTTAACAAGAAATGGATCATAGACTTAAATTGAAAACCTATAACTATAAAACTGCCAGAGGAAAATATAGGAGAAAGTCTTTGTGTCCTTGGGTTAGGCAAAGATTTCTCAATAGGACGCAAAAAGCATGAAGCTTAAAAAAAAAGAATTCATCAAAATTTAAAAAAAACCTTTGCTCTTAAAAGACACTGTTAAGAAAAATAAAAATGCAAGCTACATATTGGGAGGAAATATTTGTAAATCAGTTGTCTGATAAAGGACTTGCATTCAGAATACATGAAGAACTCTTACAAGGCAATTATAGGACCAGCAATAGAATAAAAAGCCGGCAAAACATTTGAACACACACTTCATCAAAGAAGATATGTGAATGACCAATAAACACGCGAAAAAATGCTTAATGTCATTTGTCATTAAGGAAATGCAAATTAAAACCACAATGAGATACTACTACTAATATATTACAATGGCTAAAGTTAAAGAGACTGACAATAGCAAATGCTAGTGAGAATGTGGAGCAATTAGAAGTCTCATACATTGCTGGTGGGAGTGTAAAACGGTACAGCACACGTTGGAAAATGTTTTGGCAGTTTTTTAAAAAATTAAACATGCTCTACCTTAACATCTGACTCAACAATCCTACTCCAAGGTTAAATGAAGACACATGTCCACAAAAAGACATACATGAATATTCATAGCAGCTTTATTCATAACAGCTAAAAACTAGAAGAAATGTAAGTGTTCATCAGCAGATGAATAAACAAATTGTGGTCTTGGTTACACAACAGTGTCCATTTGTCAAGGCTCATCTAACTGTATAAAGAGGTGAATTTTATTGTATGAAAATTATATATAAAACAACCTGATTAAAAATAAGAAGTAATTTATTAGCCAGTCCCCTTGCCAAAAAACATAAAAATAAGCTATGAGTACTCTCTGCAGGTGATGAACTGGTCTCAAAGAGCACAGCAGGACTTTTAACAGCATTTGTTCAAAAAGCTGCATAAAAGACATTAAAATTCGTTAATTCTATGGGCATTCTTGTTGCTGAGAGGATACAGTTGTATTAATCACATTCAATCTATGAACATGTTTACTGCATCAATTATTTGATCAGCTCAATTTAGAACTTATTTTGCCTAATAAAACTGCTTCCTTTTCAGGCCACTTAATATCAAGTGAATCATCAATAATAAAAAAAATTTAATATCAAGTGAATATCAAGTGAATGATGATTCAAGCTGAATTCCTTATCCAAAGACACTCTACAGCAATATAAGTTACAAGTAAGCATTATAATAAAATTCAACTTGCTCCTGCCATAATACATTTGCTAAGATTTTGGTTTTTTAGTATTCATTGTCAGAGCAGTAGTATTAGTAAACTGCTGACCAGGAAGTCTTTTCAAATACAGGAGATATCTATCTTCATCACCGTAGTGTCTCATTTGAATGCACGGTCCTTTTGAGCTGCACTCACAGTCCATTGGAAAGCATTTAAAAAACATTAATTCACATTTGCAAAAGTCATGAAGCCTCTTTCACTGTGGAGATCTCTAATTTCTCATGTGAATATTCCTCCTCCTCAGTATTTACGCAACGTTTGAAAAACATAAACAGCTTTAAGATAATTTAATATTGCAGACATTTTCTTCTTGGAGCTGTTTTTTGCAAGCATATTAAACACTTCCTAGATTACAGGCAGTAATTTATATGTACTTTAGAGATTTTATAAGTAAATGGACTGTTTGTGAGAGGAACTACTAAGATAACATCAATCTCTGAATTTCCCAAAACAAGATCTAGCTGATTTTTCTTATTAAATCTTCCCTACATTCCCAGCAAATTTTGTCAATTCTTCTCCAGGATGATTGTAGGGAGCACTCAAGGCTCCATGTGGACTGGAGCTTTGGTCTCTGAGCAGGCTACTAATGGCTGCCAAACCTGAGGCGTTATTTTATGATATAGCTACTCATGGCTCAGGGACGGAGCTCACCAACTTGTCTCATAAGCATTTTGAGTTAGTTAGAAGCTCTAGCAGTATTGATTTCTAGCAATATATCTCAATGAGAATCTCCACCATTCCCCAACTGTGTTGATGGGGGCATACTAATAATTATCAAACGCACATAGGAAGCATTCTTTCATTTTGCTGAAATGAATCCCAAGAATAATGGGAGACTGTTTAATTTAGTGTGGGAAAAAAATTATAATGATCCAGCTGATCGTAATTGATTTTATATACATGAGCACTGGCATAGCACTATTAAAAGTATTTCCACGGATAAATAAATTAATTCACTCACTCAGGAACTAGTTACTGGACACCTATATGCTAGGCACTAGACCAGGTAACACATAGATTAATAAGATAAGTCTCTGCCTTCAAGAAGCTTATGATTAATATACTTAAGAAACCAACAAAGTGATTTTGATCCCAAAACAAGGAACACTAGCATGTGTGTGCAAATAGAGTATAACAATGTTTTCCAAACAAAGATTAAACTTCTAAATTGATAAGCCTGTTTTAAACCAACGTCTTGAAATCAGCGATGAGAACTGCTATGTGAGGGTTCACTTCTCCTTACTTTAGAATTAAGGTAACAAAATTCACAGATGAGGTGAACTGAAATATTCTTAATAATGATTATAAAAAGATATATTTTCTATATAGCTGCTGATTTTTGAGAGTTAAAGAAAAGTTTATGTAGGACAGTGATATGTTATAAAAGCCATCCCTAATAGGGTAGTGAAGGAACCCCTGCTCCCACAGCATTCACCACAATGGAAAACACTGGATCATTACGTGTTCTTTAGAGTTCAATGAAAATGTTAATTCACATTTCTGTACCGGACACTCTGCCCTGCCCTGATCTTCAGCTCCAAACCTTCTCAAGTGGGCTGACACTCCAGGGGGAAAAGGTCCTGGAAAGAATCCTCCGAGTTCTGGGCCTAACCCTATCTGACCTGTTTGAGAGCACTAAGTGGAGCACACTTAACAGCTGTGCAATCCAGTCCTCTCGTCTGTAGTTTCCATAGCCTGTGCCAAGTGGTGGCTTGTAGAGCCATTTTAATCCTGAACTTGCCATTTAGAAATATTATATGACCATGTAGGAGTGCTTAGAATTATCTTTTGTACTTTAGGACCAACAACTTTATAATTTTGTTAGTTGGAAATACAGTTTAAATACAGGATTGTCCTGTGCTCTTTGAGCACTTAGCAGATAAATTTCAAAAGATAATTTCCTTCTGTGTTTATAATGTTCAATATTTTAAAGTCTGGCATATTATGAACATTTGGAAAACAGAATCTGTTGAAAGACATAACTTTCAATTATACTAAAACTGAAAAGATTTTTGGGAAAATGATAGCTGTTGTCTCTTCTGATTAAATGTTATTTTCTGGTAACATCTTAAGATTACTAGTCTCTGCTTTGAACATTTATGATATTCCAAGAAAAGAACTTTTGTATATGGAAAGAATTGTGTGGCCAAAATTTCAGAAGTTCCCCAAATTACCAAGTACAATAGGATACTGATTAACAAAGGGACAGAGACGACACATCTATGCAGAAAACATATTGACATATAGACTGATGGCTTATGTCAAAATTTAATAAAAACAAAATTATGCACACTGTCAAAGTAAGCTTTTCAGTTTAGTAACAAGTGACATTAAGAAAGGTCATCTCTATTCATATTCATTCAGTACTTGCTTTGGGAATTGTATTTAAACTTCTCCTAAAACAGGTATATTATTATATTAAAAAAAAAATGGTCTTCAGAAGTTGCAATGCAAGATAAAATTAGCAAGGGACACTGGAAAAAAACTCCCCTTTACCATCATTTAAAAATGAACATTGGCTTGAAAAAAATATTTATCATAAATTTCACATTAACTCCACTATGCACTGCCTCACCTTGCCATACACTATCAATCCCTACTCCCACTCAGCAAACTCTTCGCTTAAAATTATAACCACTAAACCAGCCAGCATGAATTAAAATGCCTGGCACCTGAACTGATATCCAAGTGCCTGAGAGAATCAATGCAGAGTGCTAAGATGTTTAACTCATCCAATGGGAGTGAAATAAACCAGTACATAGGGTAAAAGCCTGCCTCATTTAATAACTTCTCTTAATGAATTCAGAATTTGAAATTACTTTTACCTTATAATCCAAGACAGAATTCACTTGCTCTACTTCAGAATTACTTATCATGTCACTTTCTTCATCATCAATAATTTCTATTTTCTGTAACATAGGTAGAGAAGTTTTCATAAATATATATCCGAAATACATCACTACACTTAACAATGTATAGAACATATACCCTCAACATTCAGTTTTAGTGATGGGGTTATCCAGACTAGGTAATCCGCAATAAACTCTGATAAACTCTGACTGGCTCCTCAGTGTTATACTCAGCGTGTGTCTAAGCCACATCCCTCTACCTTCAATTGATGACTGCTTAGTAAAGAGAAAATTACTGTGATACCGTTTAAATAGAAAAACCCTTCACAATATCGTTGAAAATATAAGCATTCAGATCATGCTTAAATAGCGCCCTCCAGTGACAGGGAATTCGCTTCCTGTAAGGGTAGTCTATTTAATGATAACCATAGCTAATTGGTTGGAAGGGTTTTCTTTTTTAAGTCACTATAAATCTCTTTGCAACTTCTAATGTAAAATGTCAACATATGACATGCACTCCAAAGTCAAATATGATTTTTAGAAAATTTACATATTTGCTGCACTCCATTAGCTGGACAATTGAAAGCAGACATTTATGATGTAATGATGAAAAAAACCTGATGATCTGTTTCCTTCACTGGACAGTAAGAAGGAAGAGAGAGAGAGAGAAATGCTAAATTGTCCTTAGCTTTAGAATTAAGGTAAAGCATAGTTTGTACAGTATCTCACACACAGTCGCCGCTAATTAAATATCTATCAAAAGAATGAACAAACAGCTTAGCACTGATGGAAAGAATGACCAATACGCTCCAACCATGGGAGCAAGGCAAGTTCTCTAATCACGGAAACTTTTTTTTTTTAAATAAAGCAAAACCAAAAGACAAAATCGGCTCTAAATTTTTCTTTTGCATATGAGAAACATAGTTAAGAAAAAACACTTTTAAACATTTAAACCCTGCCAATTCAAAGGAAAATTTAAAAAAGAGAAAAGCTAAGCTAGAGTTAGTCACTAGGCAGTCTTTTAAGAACGAGCACATTAATAGTAACATGCCGTAGGCAGAATTTGAAATCAAGCTTCCTACCCAGCAATATATACGGTTATTAAAAGTCACAAACAAACTTAGATTGATCATATTTGATACATTGTCTAAGAGGATACGATCCCTTAACAGAGTTTGTGACCTGCAGGCTTGAGTCAGGAGGACAGCTGCAATGAAATTGCTTTCTGCTGCTGCCCGGAGATGAATCTAATGTTTTGTTTTCTATTATAATCACTATTAACTTGGGGCTTAATCACGTCGGCTTTCACCAGACCTCAAATTTAATACTTTTTTATGCCATTTCTTAGATTCTCTACCTGTTTGGATTGGTTCTGGGAACAAGGAGCTGAGTGATCCAGGGAGGAAGACACCAAGGGCCACTGTATAGATTTGAGCATATAAATAGGTACTGTACGTCTCTATGATTTGTCATCCAAGAATAATTGGGGGCATTCAAAAGTTACAGGCAGAGGAGATTAACCTTTGAAAGTTTGGAGTTTTGTCTCTGAAAATCAATTGTTCTTGAAAAATTAGGTGTCTAAGTGACTGAGTCATCCCCTGCCACGACTTCATTCATTATCTTCCGTGTCTGCTGCAGGGCAGATCAGACGCAGCGAAAGTCAGGCTAAAAATGGACGTGTCTTTAGGGAAAAAGAGGTTCCAACCTTCAAATAATTGTATATAAGATGTATAATAAAACCCAAATCTAGAGCAGAGGAGATTATTACTTGGTGGAATTTAAGAATATTAGCACAATTAATAATCTTGGAAAACAATTATTACTAGCTATCTAATGAAAACACGACTTTGCCTCAAAATAAAAGCATGTTTTCCATATGCCCATTGAATTTAGTGTTAGCAGGGTCAAATATCAATTTAAATCAGGATTGAAATGAATAAAATGTAACACTAAGCCATATTCTACATGTGAAAACACCGCTATCTATTGTTGGTGTTTAACAAAAAAGAACAAAATGTATTTTATGTGCTCAACTTTTATTAAGGAGATGTGGCAGCATTATAGTTTCAGATAAATAATGTTTGTAATGGAAGCCAGGGTAATCTTGAAGTTACAGCCATTTGTTAACAGAAAAAAATCCATTATATGGACCATTTTTTAAAGGTTGCAATCAAACACAAAACACTGATTCGAAAGCAAAAACAAAAGCACAACGACATTTGCCTTTATGTCTGAGTTTAGTTTAATACCATCTTGACTTCTGTATTACTTAATGGAGTCAGAATGTAAACAGATGCTGTTAAAACAGCTGCTTAGAGAACATCTCTATATACCAATAATGTTTATATTTTCACAAAACCTAGTTTAATCCACACATAGCCTGTCTCTGTCTGCTATTTAATCTCTTCATACTGTCTTTCCTCCATTAGTGCAACTTTTAAGATATCTAACAGAGTTCAATTTAACTAGAAAGAAGAAAAGTTTCCAAACACAGTATAGATAGGTATGATCTGAACAGAGAACTCGGAGTCAGGAATTCTTAGACACAAATCCCAGAACTAACAAAGTCTTCCTTCATGATCTCAGGCTAAATTCTGTTTTAATTCTGCCATCTGTCAAATGAGAAGAAATCTGCTCTTTGCTAAAGGCGTTGAAGAAAAATAACTTCTTATGTATAAAATGTCTATGTGTAGTAAGCATTAGGCTTTTATATTTGCAAAGTTCCTAAATCTGAGGTACAAATGACAGTGTTTTAAATTTCATTTATTAAACCCTCAATGTTATGTAATTTCATTGGTAGCAACTCTGTTTTGGTTTGTAAAGTGGAGCAAGACTTTATTCTGACAACACTGCCAAGGTCACTAACTGGAAACAAATCCTTAAAATCCATCATGTAATGAAGACAGAATTTTAAAATGTACATACCACATTATCTGTGGATACTGCATGGTGGTCCTCCTCCTTATGAGCCCTTGCCTCATTTGGAACAACTTCATTGGACTCTTCTATAGGGAGAAAAAAAAGTCCATGTGTTTTCAAGATCACTTAAATAATTTCTCTATTGTATAAAGACATAAACAGCAAATTCACTTCATATATACTTTGATGAGCAATTCTACTTCTGACAACGTAGTCTAAGGAAATAAGTGTGGATGGGTAAAAGTACAAGGATGGTCACCACTGTGCTGTTTATAATTGAAAAAATGAAAGCAATCTATATGCTTAACAATGGAGGATTGGTGAAATCATTTAGGACCTAGCCCTACAATAAATAATATAAAGCCACTAAAAATGAAGTAGAAGTATAGCTGATAACACAGAAAATATTCATAATCCAGTGGAAAGTGAAAAAATGAAGGTGACAAAACCTACTATGTAGGTATACTGTGATCTTAATTTCTTAAAAGAAAAAAAATGTACATTTTGATGGAGAAAAAAACAGACTGACACTATTTGCACCAAAACTTTGCCGTTATTATTTCTAGCTGGAATTACAGGCAATTTTTATTTTTATTTCTTTTATTATTTTAGTTATTTTGATAATTTTTATTTTCTTCCATTTGCTTATATATATTTAAATATTTTTCTACAAAGAACACATGTTGCTCATTGAAATAAGAGAAAAGTAATAAAAATAATTTTCAAATACATGATATAAAACTATAAATATAGTACATTTCCAATTTTTTAAAAAGGTATCTGAATGTACACACATGTGTACACGCACACACCTGTATACATGCAAAGATAAAATATTGGCTAAAATATTTCCCCACCTCCATTTTAAGAATGGTTATCACTGAGGGGTAAGATTATTTCTATTTTTTCATTGTATTTTTCAATATTTTCTATCATGAACATGTTCCTTTTATGATCAAAATTCAATATTCTAAAAATGAAAAAGAAAAAAGAAAAGAAAAATTAACTCAGAGAAACCAGTCTACTGAAAAGCTCTCTGTGCTGAGCTAAGCGAAGGGGCTCGTTCATAGCGTAGGATATCTACAAGATAATCTCCTGTCTTGGGTTATCCCCACATTTACCCCTTAAAAACACAGGGCAGCAATATTTCTCTCTTTTCTTTCTGCACAGCTATGTCATGGAGATTATTTGGGTAAATACTAGTAGAAGTTCTCAGCCTCTTGGTAACTAACATCTTATTTCACCATAGAAAGCAGAACAAAAATATTTGTCAGCCCTCCTAAGATTTTCCATTCCTTCCCATGGACAGACATATAAGGGTGACCTGTATGAGCATGGGGGATGATCAGGAGAAAAACATGGCTGCTCCAGGAACTTACAAATGAGTACATAGAGAATTACAGGTTAAGATATCCAGGGAAACTTTACCAGAGTTTTAATACAAAGTCCACTATAAATTCAATTTTAATTTTTTTAAATAAAAGAATGGCTCCTGGACAGAGGAAACTTTATTTATTCATTATTTAGACATTTCAAACCACAGACATTTCAAGTCCTACGTAATCAGCAACTAAATGAAATGAAGGGGGGAAAAATTGTGATCAGGTTTAGCTCCAGAGCTGCTTTGTACTGGTGTCCTTGGGATAGGGGTTATATTGCTTATCAACAAGATCATTACTGGTATCACTCCTTATAGGTTTGCCTTATATTTCTGTTCTCTCTTGCTCGTAACTTTCTTCACAGTTCTGCTTTACATGCAACATATTCATTCAAGGTTTGATTATTTTATAAGATGTAAATAAAAAAATGTTTTGAGGATTTCTAAAATAAAAAAGTGTGAAGTGATTCAGCTGAATAAGGCATGTTTTCTTTTACTTACAGATAGCTTCCACATTAGTGAAAGTTTGAAAGCTACATACTGTCAATGTGTCTGATTATTCTTCAAGAAAAGCAGCTCTGCTAATTGGAAAATAAATAAGTAGAATTATTAATCAGTGAAAACTCTAAAGGGCTGTCTATGTGGTGGCCAAATGCTCACACTAAGTATCTGTATGCAGAATTATCTTTCATGTGCACACTCATGTAATAGATACGGCTGAAAGGAGGTTTTGCTATGAAATTTAACGTTATAGATGTTAGTTGTTCCCATACTTTAAACAATTTGCATCTCAGGAAAGTAAAAATCATTAAAATTGCTCAACCATAAATATATTTTGATAGAGAACTTAAGGAGATGAGTCATCTAACTATTACTTTTGCTAGAGTTTGCTGTTGGGTGGGGGGTCAATCCAAGTAGTTTTTTCTTTATCAATCCCAACCACATCTCCTTCTATTCACCTCCACACAGGGAAAGGAAAGGAAATGGGAGAAGCCAAAGTGGGAGGTAGAAGGTGGAAGTGAGAAGTAAGTCAGAAGCTCTGGATCAGGAAAGTACTTACTCTCTCAAAAGCAAAGGAATAGAATTGAATCTGCTAAAAGATGAACAGCACTTTTTGGTGACTTTGGCCAAACCTGCCTTTTACTGTTTTAAAAAAATAATCCTTGTTTTTGCTTGCAGAGTTTTTTTATAGAAAATTTTAATGTGATTTTTAATTGATTTTTTAACACGTAAAATGTAAGCCCTGATTTAAAGACATTTCTTCTTCTTAGTCATTTAGAAGATTTTAACTCTGTTGAATCAACAAGATTATAAAGGACTCTGAATTTTAAGTTGTTAAGTTTGTAAAATAGTATGGGCAGCTACTCTGATTATTCTGTCTCTATATTCTAGATGTAATTAATGGAAATCTCAAAGTAAATATACATTTAACTACATTTTCATAACTGGAAGATAATGTGGTTAGCATATTTTAAAGATAAGATGTTAGTCTAGGCCAGAGGATACAATTCACTTAATCATCAGGAAAAGGATCACACAGTTAAATCAATGAGTTAGTGCTCTCCACCAGCAAAACGAGGAAGAGAATAGGACAGAACTAGTAGGAAATGGTACAAAAAAAGGCTCTTTTCAGTATTTGAAAATTCTTTCATACTTTTCTGTTGCAACTTCTGATGAGAATGAAAAGGTTACCATGCAGCTGCGAAAAATAAGCCACTGAGAGGAATTCTAGGCAATCTCACTTCTCATCAAGTGCTTTTTCATTCATGCATTAGATTCTCTGTCCTTTTTCTCATTAGGTTTTGATTACTGTGTCAGCTTTCTAGAGAACATGCTATTTAATAACATTCTATTGGCCACTTATATAACTTTGACTATTTTTTTAGATGCCTCATACGAGAGGAATTTCTACTCAACCTCCATGAGACCATTGAGATAAAGACCCCTTTTCCTTCTGAAATCTCTCTCTTTCCTTGGTTTCAGTCATGACATACTATCCTGGTTCTCCGGTATCTGAATGTTATTTCAATGACTCCCTTTTCTCCTCTAGCCCCCAAATCGGGGTATTTCTCAACACACAGTCCTTGCCCATCTTCCTTTCTTGTTTTGCATTTTATCACTCAACTACATCTCTTATTTCTATGGCTAGACATTATTTGGCCTCAATGTAGGTGATACCATATTTCTTCTCATGTCTTAACTCCTCCTCTGAGTTCCAGACCCATATTACCAAGGGTCTGCTGGACAACTCCAAATGGATCGCCTGCCATCATCTAAAACCCAACACTTGCAAAACCGAATTCATCTTCCCACATTACACTATCCATTTAGTGCAGTGACAGTAAAAATCTTAAATGAATTTTGGAAAAGGGGATTGGAGAAAGGTATGACTAAGCAATTCTAAAGTTTATCTAGAAGAATTAGTGTGCTACAAGAGCTAAGAATGAGACCCTACCAGATATTTAGATATTTTATAAAGCCACAGTTATAAACAATCAGATCAATGTAACATAATAGGAAACGCAGAGTTTGACCTACACGTGTATGTATGCATATATGAATGTATATACATATATATACATATTTTATAAAAAGCTACACAAACTCACTGGAAAATGCTAGATTATTCAACAAATAGTGCAGGGGCAATTCATTAACCATTTGGAAAAATAAAATTAGGTATTTTCCTCACATACCTTAAAGCAAAATAAATTCTAGGTGGAATGAATATCAAGTTGTAAAAATGAAACCATAAGGATACAAGAAGCAAATACAGGCGTATGTTTACATAATTATAGTACAAGGAACGACTTCGTAATCATGACACCAAAGTCAGAAAGCCTAAAAGAATGGACTGGTATACTTGAAAACGTAAAAATTACAAACAAAAGTTCTGACATCACAAAACTCCATAAGCAAATTTAAAAGGCAAAAAATAAAGGAGAAACTACAGTTCTAATATCCTGATAAATAAATAAAAACAAACAAAATGAGCCAATGCAAGATTCTTTCATTTTCTGTATCACAGATGCAAAATTGTATGATTCCATTTATATGAAATGTCCAGAAGATACAAATTTATGTAGTCAGAAAGCGATCAGTGGTTGCCTGACTTTGGAGGTAGAAGTGGGGATTGACTACAAATGGACTCAAGGAAATTTTGTGAAGTTTTTAAAATATTCTAATATTGGATTTTAGAGATGATGGTTGCACAACTCTATAAAATTTACTAAAAATCATTGAATTCTATATTTACAATGGATGAATTTTATGATATGTAAATTAAACCTCATAAAAATCTTCAGTAAGACAAGGTGTCAGAAGAGAACTGTTTCTATGCTTAAAGTCAAATGAAAAATACTTTTTATGTACATATGGCATAATTCCATGTTATTATTTGAATTATCATTTAGGGAAACACTGGGAAGTATTATAAAGATGATCCAGCATAATTCCCTTATCTTTCAGATGAGGAAACTAATGCCCAATGAATTAAATGCTTTGCCTGAAGTCTCATAATCAGTTAGTGGAAGATCTAGGACTTGCACCCAGGTGGCCTGACTACTAATCTGATGTTTGTCACATTATACTATACTCTCTTTCGTAACAATGCATGTATAATGCTCTAACTGAAATTGACTAGAATTCCAATAAAATAAAAAACTATCATATACTTAATTATAACGTATGGATTGTTGTAATGACCAACATTTCTAAATGTGAAAGATCATTATTGTGGTAGATGAATGTTCCTTGTTGTGATGACTTGATGTGGGAGACTGTTTAGGTGGAGGGAGTAAAAATCAAAAGGGTAAAAGACAAGTGTTGGTAAAGATAGGAAAAAAGAGAACCCTCGTGCACTATTGGTGGGAATGTAAACTGGCACAGCCATTACGGAAAACAGTATGGAGGTTCCTCAAAAAATTAAAAATAGAGCTACCATATAATCCAGCAATCCCTCTTCTGGGTATATACCCAAAGGAAACGAAATTAGTACCTTGAAGAGGCATCTGCACTCCCATGTTCATTGCAGTATTATTCACAGTAGCCAAGATATGCAAACAACCTAAGCATCCATCGACAGATGAATGGATAAAGAAATTGTGGTATATGTACAGTGGAATATTATTCAGTCTTAGAGAATGAGATCCTGCCATTTGCAATGACACAGAAGAACCTGGAGGACATTATGCTAATTGAATCAGCCAGATGCAGAAAGAAAAATACTGTATGATCTCACGCATATGTGGAATCTAAAAAAGTCAAATATGTAGAAGCAGAGAGTAGAATGGTAGTTACCAGGGTGGGGAGGTGGAGAAAATGAAGAGATATTGATCAAGGAGTACAAAGTTGCAATTACATAGGATGAATAAGTATGGACATGTAATGTACAGCAAGGTGATTATAGCTAACAATACTATACTGTATAATGGAAATTTGCTAAGAGAGTAGATTTCAGGTGCTCTCACCATACACAAAAAAAGGTAACTATGTGAGGAGATGGATATGTTAATTAGCTTGACTGTAGTAATCATTTCACTATGTATATGAAAACATGTTTTACACTTTAAATATATTCAATTATTACTAAAAAATAGAATAAAAATAAATCTGTTTCTTTTCAAATGTTTGACCAAATGTTTTGAGGACTGTAGATTTGAAGTGCAGTAAGCTGACAAGCAAGTAAAAATGCATCAAGTTTACAAAAGCTATTATTAGGAGGTGCAGCATATAAAATACCTTGAGAGCTTCCTTCAGACAAACAGATGGATACTTCATCATTTCTGTCATTATCCTCTCCTACTTCAGGACCAGCTTCCTCTCCTGGTGTGAAGGCAGACAAAGAGCCAGATTCGGGCTGCTCAGAAAAATCAGCAGGGCCTCCTCTTGGAGGCGGAACTTCAATCCCCATTAAACGATATTTCCTTCTTCGATTCCCAATCCAAGTCTTTATAAGAGAAATACAACAGGAAGTTTTGTAAACATAGAAAACTTAGTAGTTCTGGCCATTAAAATAATGAATGGATGCTACATAAAATATGATTTAAAAGAATCAATAGATACCTAGAATAATAAAATTTTATTATTACTCAACAAGCTAAAATAAAAATAATGTTTCAACTTTTAAATATCTTATTAGGAGAAAGATGATATTTCTCCAAACATTCAGACTTTCAAGCAACATGCAGTCCATTGCAGAACATGCTTTTGTTTTTGTTTTTCTGGAGAAAATAATCTGCCAAATCTTTCAAAATAAACACAAATTAGTTCTTCTCCCAAAGGGACCAGGCATCCAGCCATGACTATAGTTCATATCCCATTTTCAGTCTTGCTCTTCCTAACTGAAATGTGTTTTCTATTAACTTTGGATGCATAATGGTTACCTGGGTGTTCCAAGTACTCTAAGATTTCATTTTATGGGATTTAGAAGCAATTTTTAAAACATTTTATGTTAAAATAATTTTAGAGTCACAAGCAGTTGCAACGATAGATCTCCTTCACTCATTTTCCTCCAGTTTACATTTTACATAATAGTAGCACAATAACAAAAACAAGACATTGATATTGTACAATACGTCTATGCAGTTCTGTGTTCCTTTATCACACCATTCTTCTCCCTCCCCTTCTGACCATCCTCAACCCCTGGTAATCACAAATCTGTTTTCCACCTCTATAACTGTGTCATTTAGAGAGTATTATATAAATGGAGGAGTCATACAGCATGTGACTTTTTGAAATTGGCTTTGTACACTCTGCGTAATTTTCTGGAGATTTATTCAAGTTGCATGTATCAATAGCCCATTCCTTTTTATTGCTAAGTAGTATTCCACGATAGTTATATATCATTTTTTTCCATTTTCTTTGCAATGTTTGTTTAACCATTTACTCTTTGAAGGACACTTGGGGTGTTTCCAATTTTTGGCTACTACATATAAAGCGCTTATGAACAGTCATGTACAGGTTTTTGTGCAGATATACGTTTTCATTTCTTCAGGATAAATGCCCAAGAATGCAAGTGCTGGGTCGTATGGTAATCGCATGTTTAGTTTTATAAGAAACTGCCAAATTGTTTCCAGGAGAGTTGTACTATTTTACATTTCTACCAGCAATGTATGAGAGATTAGTTTCTTGGTATTCTTGAAAGCATTTGGTATTGTCAGTAATTTTAAAACAAATTGCATCTGTTCTCCTTGGTGCGTGTAACGATAGATCATCAAGTTCTTAATTTGATTTCCCCAATGGCTAGTGATGGTGAAAATATTTTCAGATTTTTATTTGCCATCCATATATCCTTTTCAGTGAAACGTCTCTTCATGTCTTTTGCCTATTTTCTAATTAAGTTGTTTTTTCTAATGTTGAGTTTTGAGAATTCTTTATATATTCTAAATATGAGTTTTTGTCAGATATTTGGTTTTGCAAATATTTTCTTTGGTTCTGTAGCAGATATGAGTTCTTTGTCAGATATGTGGTTTGCAAATATTTTCTTCCAGTCTGTAGCTTGTATTTTCATTGTCCTGGTCTTTCATGGCCCACAAGTTTTTAATTTTGATGAAATCCAGGCTATTGCTTTTTTCTTTTACAGATTGTGCTTTTAGTGCCATTTCTAAGCGTTCTTCGCCAAGTCCTAGGTCTTGAAGATTTTCCCCTGTTATCTTCTAAAAGTTTTATAGCTGTATTTTTTACATTTAAATCTATGATCCATTTTGAGTTCATTTTGTATAAGGTATGAAATTTAAGTGAAGTTTCATTTGTGTTTTCCTATAGATATCCAATTGCTCCATCATCACTTCTTGAAAAGACTTCCTCCATTGAATTGCTTTTGCACCTTTGTCAAGAATCAACTAAGCTGGCCATACTTGTACATGGTTATTTCTACATTTTTTATTCTGTTCCACTGATGTATATGTCTATCCTCCTGTCAATACCACACAGTCTTGATTACTGTAGCTATATAATAAATCTTGAAATTAGGTAGTGGACTGGATTTCTTCTATTTTATTCTTTTTTTTCCAGGATTGTTTTAGCTGTACTAGCGTATTTCCTTTCCATATGAATTTTAGGCTTGTCTAAATGGAAAAAATCTTGCTGGGACTTTTATAGAAATTATGTTAAACCTATATATCAATTTGGGGTGAATTTACATTTTTACTATGTTGAGTCTTCCACTCCATAAACACAGAATGTCTCTCCATTTATTTAGAACAACTTTGATTTCTTTCATCAGTGTTTTGTAGTTTTTATTATACAAGTCCTGTACGTGTTTTGTTAGATTCACACTTATGCATTTGATTTTCTGAGTGATTGCAAATAATATTATATCTTTAATTTCAGTTTCAATGTGTTCATTTTAACTATATAGACACACAATTGATTTTTGTGTGTTAATCTTATATCCAAAGACCTTGTTGAATTCACCTATTATTTGTAGGAGTGTTTTGTAGTTTCCCTAGGATTTTCTACAAAGCCAATCATGTCTCTTTTATTTCCTTTTCTTGCATTATTGCTCTGGCTAGAACTGGTAGTACTATGTTGAATAAAGGTGGCCAGAGTGGACATTTTCTTTTGTTCCTGATCTAGGGGGGAAAGCATTCTATTCACCATTAAGTATAATGTTAGCTGTAGGTTTTGGGCACTTGTGGGTTTCTTTTTAGGGAAGTATTTTAATGATGAACTCAATTTCCTTAATGGTTATAGGGCTATTCAGGTAACCTATTTCTTATTGGGTGAGTCGTGATAGTTTGCACTTTTTGAGGAATTGACCCATTTCATTTAAATTGTCAAATTTGTGCATTTAGAGGTGTTTGTGGTATTGTCTTATTATCCTTTTCATGTCTGCAATGTCTGTAGTGATATCCTCTATTTCATTCCTGATATTAGTAATTTGTGTCTTCTCCTTTTTTTTACTTTGCTCATTTTGCTAGATATTTGTCAAGTTTACTGATCTTTTCAATGAGCCCACTTATTTTTTAATTTTTTAACTAATTAATTTTTTTTTAAAGATTGGCACCTGAGCTAACAACTGTTGCCAATCTTCTTTTGTTTTATTCCTGTTTTTTCTCCCCAAATCCCCCAAGTACATAGTTGCATATTTTAGTTGTGTGTCCTTCTAGTTGTGGTATGTGGGACGCTGCCTCAATGTGGCCTAATGAGCAGTGCCTTGTCCGCGCCCAGGATCAGAATCGGCGAAACCCTGGGCCGCCAAAGCAGAGCACGCAAACTTAACCACTCGGCCACGGGGCCAGCCCCTAATCTATTTTTTATTTTTATTTTTTTACCTTTTGACCCCTTTCGCTCATTTCTCCCCCCCCCCAACCCTCTGCCTCTGGTAACCACCAATCAGTTTTCCAGATTAATTAGTTAAAAAAAAAAACTTAATAGACTCTTTTTTTGACTAGTTTTAGGTTTACAGAAAAAAATTCTGTGAAAAACACAGAGTTGCCCATATACCTCTCACCCGCCAGTCAATTTCCTCTGTTTTTAACATCTTTCTAAAATTAATGTGGTGCATTTGTTACAATTGATGAACTAATACTGGTAGATTATTAAGTAAAGTCCAGAGTTTACATTATGTTACAGAATGTTGTACATTCTATACACTTTAGCAAATATATAATGGCTTGTATTCACCATTACAGTATCATACAGAATAGTAGTTTCACTGCTCTAAAAATCTCCTGTGTTCCACCTGTTCCTCCCTCTCTCCTCCCCACAAGTCCCTGGAAACCAGTGATCTTACTGTCTCTCTATATTTTTGCCTTTTCTAGAATATCATATACTTGGTATCATACAGTATGTAGCCTTTTCAGATTGGCTTCTTTCACTCAGTAACATGCATTTAAGTTTCTTCCATATCTTTTCATAACTTGACAGCTCATTTCATTTTATCCATTGTCTGGGTGTACCACAGTTTGTCTATTAATCTACTGAAGGACATTTTGGTTGCTTCTAATTTTTTGCAATTATGAAAAAACTTGCTGTAAACATTTGTGTGCAAGTTTTTGCATGGACATAAGTTTTCAACTCATTTGGGTAAATACCAAGAAGCACAGCTACTGGATCATATGTTAAGAGTATATTTAGTTTTCTAAGAAACTGCCAAAATGTCTTGCAAAGTATCTGCACCATTTTGCATTCCCACCAGCAATGAATGAGAGTACCTGTTGCTCCAAATCCTCACCAGCATTTGGTGTTGTCAGTGTTTTGGATTTTGGTCATTCTAATAGGTTTGTAGTAGTATTTCATTGTTGTTTTAATTTGCAATTCCCTAATGACACATAGTATTGAGCATCTTTTCATATGCTTATTTGTCATCTGCATATATTCTTTGGTGAGGTGTCTGTTCAGCTCTTTGCCTATTTTAAATTAGGTTGCTTGTTTTCTTATTGCTGAGTTTTAAGAACTCCACAATATTTTGTATATTGTTGAATATTGTTGAGTTCTTTGTATATTTTGGATTACAGTCCTTTATCTGATATGTGTTTTGCAAAGAATTTCTCCCAGTTTGTGGCTTGTCTTTTCAGTCTCTTAAGATTGTCTTTTGCAAATCAGAAGTTTTATATTTTAATGAAGTCCAACTTATCAGTTTTTTGCTTTTATGGATCATGCTTTTGGTTTTGTATCTAAGAAGCCAACAGTAAACCCAAGGTCACCTAGATTTTCTCCTATGTTATCTTTAGGAGTTTTATAGTTTTGCATTTTACATTTATGTCTATGATCCATTTTGAGTTAATTTTTGTGAAGGATGAAAGGTCTATGTCTAGATTAATTTTTTTGCATCTGGATGTTCAGTTGATCCGGCGCCATTTAAAAAGACTATCCTTTTTCCATTCAATTATCATAGTGCCTTTGTCAAAGATCAGTTGACTATATTCATGTGGGTCTATTTCTGGGCTCCCTATTTTGTTTTACTGATCTATTTTGTCTATTCGTTCATCAATACCACACTGT